AATATTTCTTTTATATCTCTTTTCACCTTTCAAGAAAGATCTTCTTTGGATTTCAGATGATACTGACCAAGCATGGCAGGTGCCAATATTCAAAATATAAATGGGAGCTGATTGATAATACTAACTGTGACTGTGAGAACATCCCACAAACTTTATACAGTATCATATTGCTACAAAATGCCCCCTCAGTAGGTTCCCTGGATCCCGGCATTAAATACACCATCTTGAGGACATGTTCTGCCCCAGCTCCGGATCCCAAATAGTGTGACACACACAAAGCCCCCAAAACTCCAAAAATGTGGATGCTCGCGGCAGCAGCGGTGGCTGCAATGGCGACCGCTGGGATGACGCCGAGAAGAGCGGCAGCGGCCTGGCGACCATCAGCTGTTGGCGGCGGGAGATATTAGTTGGTGGCCTATCATCCTGAAATTGCCTGGGGTGCTACAGGGTGTCTGGCTCAACTTGGGGGGGCCAGCCCCTGCACCGACCGGAGATCCCCGTGGAGACTGGGGAAGACTGGGGGCATAAACGGTGTGACCGCTGGAAGATCTGAGGGAGGTTGAAGAGGTGGAGGGCTGCTGAGGAGTGGCCATCTTTGTCACCCTCATGCTGTTTCTACCCACCCCCCCCCCAGCCTGGGTTCAGGCCTTGTCATGGTCATTCGCCATCCAGATTGATTCTTCCCGCTCCAAAATGTCTCTCTCTTGGATCCATCTTATCCTCTCCTTAGTATCACCACTTTTCTGATCCCGTGCCCGGCTCTGTATTCCACTCTGTGTCTCTTTGCCATAGGAGAGTTGCTAGCTCATGAATGCAGGTACTGAGGGAGCCAGGACTCTGCTGCTGTTTCATCACCGGATATGACGGTCCATCTGTTTCCATTGCCACTTCCATTCTTAGCCAGCCACCGTGAGAGGGTGGCTTTGGTTATTTCACTTTCCGGTTACTTCAAAATGGCGTGAGACTCCTCCCATTGTCATGCTAGGACAGTGGAGCCCAGTTAATCTGCGTTTGAAGTTTTCCATTCTTTTTCTCTCTGGGACCTTTCTGACTATCATTGTTGACTCCCTGGCCATATGTCACCACCACCCCTGGCTACCGGATGTATTCAGCGGCCGAGCTCCTTGTGCTGCAAAACTCCCCCCTCTCGCAGGCCTGGCCCCCCACACTATGGAGGCCTACCTTGATGATGGGTTCTGGAATCCTGAGAGGTGGCATGCCACGAAGAGGAGGTTGAGGGGGGTTTTGTCTAAATTTTTAGTTAAAATTTTAAGGGGTTCCACGAGAGGGGTGGGTTATTTTGTGAATAATGGACCTGGGGGGGGGTCCATGCAGATCAGCAATTCAGCCTGTCAGATGGCTGGGGAGAGGGGGCGGGGAGGGGGTGCCAGACGAGGTATGGTGGGGTGACGGTCATTCTGTTACCATGGTGGTTGGGATGGGCAGAGGTAGTGAGAGCAGAGGGCGTTACATCAGTGGGGTGCGGCCCCGCTGTTTGCAGATGGTGGCGCGTTCCGGCCCTCTTAGGTCTTCCTGCTCCCCTGGGGGGTTGTGAGTGTGGAACCCTGGACTTGGCTGGTGTATGTTAATGCCAGGTCCGTTGTGTATAAGGCCCCCCTCATGCATGATCTCATCGATGAGGGAGGCATGGACCTGGTTTGTGTTATGGAGACCTGGTTGGGCCCAGAGGGAGGGGTTCCTCTCTCCGATCTATGCCCACCAGGTTTCCGTGCACTACACCAGCCGCGACTCAATGGAAGGGGTGGGGGGTGGCGGTTGTTATTAGAGAAAGTCATAGACCTAGGGAGGTCACTATCCCTCAGATAGGTGTGAATCCCTATTGTTGAAATGGAACCCTGGAGTACAGTTGGGTCTGTTGCTTATGTACTTGTCTCCCAGCTGCGTATCCTCAGCCCTATCCGCACTGCTCGAGGTCTTAGCCGAACTGACGGTTGAGCTCCCCAACCTGATGGTTGTGGGGGATTTTAATCTCCCGTCAGCTGGCGAGACATCTGAGCTGGTTCGGGAGTTCATGGTCTCCATGACGGCTATGGACCTGACTCAAGTTGTACAGGGTCCAACTCACTACGGCGGACACACACTTGACTTGATTTTTATCTCTGGGCAGTGGATAAATGCCCAGGGTAGGGGGGAACTTTCTATTCAACCCCTGTCATGGACCGACCATTCCCTCCTTAAGCTAGATTTCCTATCCGCTAACGCCCACCGCTGGGAGGTGGAACCAATTCGTTGGTTCCGCCGCAGGCGCCTGATGGATCCTGATAGGTTCCTGATGGAGCTTGGGACATTTCCCACGTATCTATCCCGCAATTCCCCAGAGGCCCTGATGGATTCCTGGGAATGGGCTGCGCTGGGGCATTGCATCGAATCGCCCCTTTGCGGCCTCTCCTCCGACAGGGATCCCGGGTGGCTCCATGGTTTTCCATGGAGCTCAGGGAGATGAAACATCGGAAGAGATGCCTAGAGGGCTGCTGGAGATGTTCCCGTTCCGAATCTGATCGAACACAGTTAAGAACCTCTATTAGGTGTTATCTTGTGGCGATGGAAGCGGCGAAATGTGATTATTTCACCGCTCTCATTGCGTCTGCAGAAAATCACCCAGCAGCCTTGTTTCGAGTGACTTGCTTTCTTCTTAACCAGGGAGTGAGGGAGGACCCTCTGCAGGGCAGTGCTGAGGATTTTGCTCAATTTCTGCAAGACAAAATCGCTCAGATCCGGACGGGTTTAGACTCCGAGTGGGCAGGACCTGACGAGGAGATGGGAACTGGTCTTGAAGGTAACATCTGGGTTGACTTTGACCCTGTATCCATAGATGAAGTGGACAGGATTATGGGTAGATTGGGGGCCTCCACATGTTTGTTGGACCCGTGTCATCCTGGCTTGTTGTGGCAACCAGAGATGTGACCGGTGGCTGGGTCCGGGTGATTGTCAATGCTTCTTTGAGGGATGGGGTCTTCCCTGCCACCCTCAAGGAGGCGGTGGTTCGAACCCTTCTCAAGAAGCTGGCCCTGGATCTGGCCATTTTGAACAACTTCTGTCCCATCTCCATCCTTCGCTTTATAGCGAAAGTTGTTGAGTCTGTGGTGGCATACCAGCTCCCACAATTCCCGGAGGAAACAGATTATCTAGACCCGTACCAATCGGGTTTCAGGCGTGGACACAGCACAAAAATGGAATTGGTGTCCCTGGTGAATGATCTCTGGCGGGCTCGGGATGGGGGTTATTCCTCCATCCTGGTCCTACTTGACCTCTCAGTGGCTTTTGATACCATCGACCATGGTATCCTTCTGCGGCGACTAGGGGGGTGGGGGTAGGGGGCACTGTTTTACAGTGGTTCTCCTCCTACCTCTTGGGTTGCATGCAGTTTGTTGGGGCAGTGGGACAGAGATCCTGCCTGAGGCCCCTCACTTGCGGGATGCCTCAGGAGTCGGTTCTCTCCCCTTGCTCTTTAAAATCTATATGAAGCCGCTGGGTGAGATCATTCGTAGTTTCTGGGTGAGGTATCATCAGTATACCGATGATACCCAGCTTTACATCTCCACCCCGGACCAACCTAGGGATGCCCTTTCCATGATGTCTAAGTGCCTGGAGGCGGTGCAGGTCTGGATGGGTAGGAACAGGCTCAGACTCAACCCCTCCAAGATGGAATGGCTGTGGATACCGGCATCTCATGGTCTAGTGCCCCCATCACTTCGGATGGGGGGGAGTTACCCACTCCCTCTGAAAAGATTCGAAATCTAGGCATCCTCCTGGATTCGCGGCTGTCCTTGGTTGACCATCTGACAGCCGTGAGAAAGGGGCCTTTTACACAGGTCTGCCTGGTGCACCAGTTGCACCCTTTCCTAGATAGGGATGCCCTCCGTGCAGTCACCCATGCTCTCATTATCTCTTGTTTGGATTATTGCAATGCCCTCTACATGGGGCTGCCCTTGTGGTGCACCCGGAGGCTCCAACTAGTCCAGAATGTGGCTGCACGGATTGTTTCAGGGGCTTCCCGTTACTACCGTGTTACACCTCTCCTGAGTGAGATGCACTGGTTACCGGTGGTCCTTCGGATCCACTTCAAGGTGCTGGTACTTACCTATAAAGCCCTTCATGGCATGGGCCTGGGGTACTTGCAGGATCACCTTCTGCCTGCCTCCAACCGCCCAGTGCGCTCACGTAGGATTGCCCTCATCCGGGTGCCATCGGCCAGACAATGTCGGCTGATGGCGCCCAGGATGAGGGCATTCTCTGTGGGTGCACTGACCCTCTGGAATGGTTTACCCACTGGGCTCCGGATGGCCCCCGACCTCCGCTCTTTCCGCGGTGACCTGAAGACATGGCTTTTCCAACAAATTTGCTGATCTGATGGGAGTTTTTAACTTTAATCCTTTGGGGTTTTTAATTCAGCATTTTAGTCGTAATTTTGCTGTTTGCTAGTTTGTCTTTGTGAGCCGCCCCGAGTCCTTCAGGAGAAGGGCGGAATATAAGTATAACTAAACTAAACTAAACTAAACAACAAGGCATTGTTGCCCAATGGCTAAACAGTCTAGATATCCAGACAAAGGTTTAGTCACTCTGGTAACTGTTCATACATAATTTAATTTTATTCATAATTGTACCCATCATTTCTATTATGCATTTTTGAAATAATTCACTGTTCTGGTGTTTTATATTTTGATACACATTTTTATATCCTGTTTCTTCTAATTTTATGTAATAATGCTGTATTCTTTTACACCATACAAAATAAATATAATCGATTAGCGTATTTTTTGGACTATAAGACTCACCAGAGTATAAGACACACCTTAGTTTTTGGGGAGGAAAATAAGAAAACAGCTGATTGGCGGGTGGATCACCCTCCCAGAATACCTCCAATCAGCTGTTCCCAGAGGTGAACTTCAGCAACAGGTTCGTTGGTTGTGAGCTTTGCACCTTTCATTCATTCTTTCTTTCTTTCTTTCTTTCTTTCTTTCTTTCTTTCTTTCTTTCTTTCTTTCTTTCTTTCTTTCTTTTTTTTTTTTTGCCTTTTCTTGCCTTTTTTTCAGCCTCTCAAATGGAGGTTTCAGAGGCTTTTTTCAGTAGGACTATATTCAGTGTATAAAATGCACCCAAATTTTCACCCTCTTTTAAGGTGATCTTGCACAATCCACCGTGTCCTTCTATCTCTTCCTACCTCATCACTCAAGATCTTTTTCTTATCCCTCCCATTTTGGAAGAAATTAGGCACCTTGAAAATTAAGAACCACAAAACAATCAACCGTCGACATGTCTTTTTTAAAATGCACATGGATCAAAACGCTCTAGATGAATCTAGCACCCTTTCCTCTGGTGTGACCCACCTTCCAGAGTGGAGATAGTCCCTTCTGGGCAAGGAACACAGTCATAGCAGCAAACTGGCTCTCCTTCTCGAGCCTGCTTGAACAATCCAGGATGACAATTTTCCACACATCTGGACTGAGGCAGAGACTAAGGAAAAAAACAAGGAATGCCAAATGAACTTTGTTAGAAATAACCATCATTGAAAAATGGAGATAGACATGAATATTAGTCAAGTAGTTGCTTAGGTAAGTTGTTCGCTTAGGTAAATAAGAAATTTTTAACTAACTCTCAATGTTGCAAGGGATCTAACTACCAGCAGATTCTTCACTTAGTTCAGTGATGGCTAACCGTTTTGGCATTGCGTGCCAAAACTGGGAGGGGGGCGTGGGGAGGTCGTGCGTGTGCATGCCCACACCCATAATTCTATGTGCCCTGCCCCGGTGCATATGCGCACGACCCCCCCCGCACTCCCCCACCTTTGGCACAATGGGCCTGATAGGCCCATTTTTTTCTCTCCCCAGGCTCCAGAGCCTTTCTAGGAGCCTGGGGTGGGCAAAAACAGCCTCCCCCACCCCCTGGAGGACCTCCAGGGGCTGGAGACAGTTGTTTGCTGACTTCCAGTGGTCCCAGAAGGCCCAAAAATCAGCTGGCGGAGCTGAGCTCGCGTGCCCACTGATATGGGCCCACTGCCATAGGTTCACTATCAAAGACATAGTTCCTCCCTTTTGCTTCTAGAATATCTCATTGTAATACAGGACACTTCTATTTAATAAATTCTGGAGAGAAGCAATTGAGAAAAGATTTAAGAATGAAATGACATTTCGTGGTTCCTCCATACGGTTAAATTAGCATGCATTCTTCGTTTCTTCATGTATCCATGAGTTTAAAGTATGATGCTTTAGTCATATTGAAATTTATTCTGAAAGGTTTGTGATTTTTTTCTATGGCACAAGGAAAAGAAGACATATATCATTGCAAACCAACCCCCATTTGTAAGTGGACCAGGACAACTTTCCATTTAAGATATAAAGGAAAACTTTGTTACAGATTAGGGTTGGAAAAGGGAGGAGGAGCCTGAACTTTTGCCTGCTAAATCCCTTTGAAGATTCCGTCTCCTCGGAGATGGGGAGGGGGAGACATTCCTGTGATCTGACAAAGAAGGAATCAGGAAAGTGACTTGGAAGACAGCCAATGAGAAGCAGAGAACTGGGGATCAGAAAGGGAGGGATTGGGGGGCAAAGGTCAGTACTGACAGTGAAAAGAGTCAGGATCAGATTGCTGTGCTCGAATAAAGAGAAAATTTCCTTAAAGATTGGCAGTTTGGAAGTTCATTTATTTTGAGATAGCATCAAAACCTGACAGCAGAATTGCAGGCTGACTCTGCCCACTGCCAGGAGTTTGATCCTCACTTTCTCAAGGTTAACTCAGCTTTCCAGCTTTCTGAGATTGGTAAAATAAGGACGAGATTGTTGGGGGCACTATGCTGACTCTCTTAACTGCTTCGAAAGGGCTGTAAAACTATGGAGCAGTATATACGTCTAAGTGCTTTTGCTATTTATTTGTTTATTTATTTGCTAATTTTATATGGCCACCATGCTGGTGAAGTAATACTAAACTGACTGCCTACTTTTTAGAACTGTAGAGAGATGAGATGGATATGATGTGCCCTTAAAAAGGGTAAGTCATTCATTCTTTGCTGCATCACATGGGACATGAGTAGGAGCCCTGTGTCAGAAAGAGATGTTTCTAAGGCAGGAATGTCAAACTCTATTGCATTGAAGGATGCATCAGGGTTGTGTTTGATCTCGGGGGACAAACACAATGAGTGACATTGAGCTGGCCAGGGGGCATGGCCAGCTCAATGTCTCTCATTGAGGCTCCATTTTCAGCCATGATGGCCTCCTTCAGCCCTCTGCCAGAGAAAATAGGGCTCAGGGAGGCCGCCACCATTCAGGCTCCATTTGCGGGTACGACAGCCTCCTGCAGCCCATTGCCAGTGAAAATGGAGCTCAGGAAGGCTGTGCGCTGGGCCAGTCCTTCACTGTTTCCAGGGTGGGCCCATGTGACAGATGAAACCACTCCATGGACCGGATCCAGACCCCGGGCCTTGAGTTTGACACCCCTGTTCTAAGGTCAAGTTGGGTATCCAAAAAAAGTTCCTTTCTGTTGAAAAACCACCGTTAGGTAACACCAACTGGCATATAAATACAGAGCTACATTTATTATTAGTTACATTTGGAGACTCCTTTTTCCCAGAGAGACTTAAGGTAGCTAATAATCAAAATAAACAATTGCATTCAAGGATGTTCCTTATGAGGTTATAAGCTAAAGACCCAATCTAAGTAACTCCCCCCCCATTTGTCCCTCATTTCTTCCAATATGAAGAAGGGTTTTTCTTTGGATCAAGTCATGTTTCAGTGCTTCAGTTTTCTGGGTTAGGGCACATCAGAACCATCATTAGGATATCATGTGAACTGAAAGCCTTGGACCTTCTCCTCAGGAGCAGAAGGCCTATTCGTCTGTCCCCATGGCATGAAAGACAAGTATGGAAAATTCTGACATATATGGTCTGTTTAAGAAGATAAGCTTGCCCAACCATGGCAAGCTAAATCTGAATTCCCAATGGTATCAACAGGAACTGCATCCACCCTTGATTGAGTTATCCTTGCTTCTTTCACTCCACCAGGAATATGGGTAGTGGCCAAAAGACTTGCATTCTATTTTGCTAATTTTAAGCAAGGAAACAAGACAAGTTGGTGCTATGAGCACCAAAATCCCCAGCACTTGACGTCCCCTTTCAGCAGTTTTATACAGATAACAGTTTGCACAGGGGACACAAAATAGCCATCACCACCCAGCATCCCAAGTTGGACATGGCTGAATCAATTTAAAACCATGTTTCATATCACGGCATCTAAAGGACACCTTGCCAATTATATTGATGCCTCCTGAAACATTTTTTTTAAATTAGAAGGATTCTACTCCCCAAATACAATTTTCACTGAAGCCTATTTGGTGAATAGGCTTAGCTACTTGAAATGTGCCCTAAGGCTTTAGAAAACAGAGAAAAGACACCGATATTTAATTCACCTTGTTGATCAGCTTTAGTTGTGAAATAGCATCTTGATCGATAGTAAGTCTCTGTCTTATAAAAACCCCTAGTTGCTCTTTAATGAGATCCTCCCTGGAGAGAACTATCAAGCTTACGATGTCCAGATCTGCTGCCACATCACCATTTTGGTCCAAGTATATTTTAATGTGGGAAAGATTACAAAACTCATTCTTCTTCAAAAATGAATGGAACTAGAATAAAAATATCCAGAAATGTTAAAAGCATGTCCATGTCCACATCTCTGTCTAACTACACTTGATAAGAATATTTGTGGAAATGATCTCAAAATAGTAGATTGTAAACTAAATGTGAGTTGACCGTGTGATGCTCATGGAAAGAAGGCAAATGCATCCATAAAAATCTTAGAAGTAAATGTGCAGGTTTGGAGAGAAATTGACTCAAGTACAAAGTCCCCTTGCAGGCACCCCCTTTTCAGAAGACATTGTACAACTACTGGATCAGCTTTAGAGATGGGCAATGAAATCAAGGAAGAGATCAAAGGAGCTGGTCTTAGCCTTGAAGAAAGGTAACAAGGAGAGGAGTCATGTTGGTCTTTGGGGATGAAAATCAGAAGGAATCTGGGAGCACCTTTTACAATGAACAAAATCACTTGGTTGGAATAAGGAGAATACAGCACTCTTCCAATAGCTGAAAGATGTTACATGTCAGGTTCCAAGTAACGCATCCCTCAGAAATCAAAGTTCAGTCCTTTCCTCAAAGGAAAAATAACAGCTCAGTCACAAGAGAAGAGATTCCTCTTCACTGATTGCTTTAACGCGAAGATCCAGCAGCCATTACTTAAAGAAGCTTTAACTGGAATTTCAGCAGGCAGGAGGGGTTGTATAACTCCTTCAAATTTATGAACATAAAATTCCAAAATGCTAATCGCAAATTCATAAGGACTGGAATTTTTTAAAAAAATTCCTTACCTCCTTTGTATTCCTTCTCCAAAAAAATAAGTTTCATAGATCTTTGTCGGGACTCCATACCTGCCATGGCTTCAGCCTTTGAGTCCCCACCCTCTCTTCTTGCTCTTTCCTTCTCCTCTTGAATATGGAGGAATAAGCAGCATTCAAGGCATGGGCCATAATATTCATCATAGCATAAACATGGCGGTTATACAGGTTCCACATCCTGTTCATTTCCACTTTGGTGTTCAGTGGTAATGTCTGAGTGCATCTTGTCCGGCCTTTGACAGAAATGTTGTCTTTTGAAAAAGAACACCGAAAAGACTGATTGGTGAACTGTGGTTCCAGAAAGAAGTCTGGTTCGAAGGAACCATCCTTTGGCGTTTTTTTCCACTGAAAACTGTAGTACCAAACACTATGGACATATTTGAGAAATGTGTGGCTTCCTATTTGCATTTCCCCATAGCCTGCATAAAGCCAGACTTTTCCTTCAATGGGTTCTGGCAAACCTTGAAGTGTTGAATGGAAAAGAAGAATTCTGTCCGAAAGCGAAAAATAGTCTGCGAAGTGAACAAAGACATTGACTTGTTTCCACTTGGAGATGGCATCCCTGAGGGCTGCTGTACGTCCAGAGGTTGATAAAAGTTGTGATATAACAATACAAATCCCATTCCTGACAAGCAGAGGTGTCAAAGTCTTCATGAAATTCACTCCATCCTCTGTGTCTGAAGCAAAGAGACCAATCAAAGACCATCCAAAATGGAGGAGCAGTTGGACAATTCCTGGGTTGAGAATCACTAATTTGGGGAGCATCCGGTAGAAAAAAGGGAATTGTATTTTATCATTCAGAGCTTCTGAAGCAATTGAACAGATCTGGGGAAAATTATGAAAAATGCTCTATTTGGGGGTCAGTTATTGGCTTTCAATAAATCCAACTCGACCAACTGACTTTAATTTCTAAAAACCGTAACTTTTCATCTTGCTTTATTAATAAGTGTTAATAAGATTTATGGAGACAACAAACCTTTATTTCCCCTGACTGACATATTGTGTGATTACACGCAGGGGTGGTACTTTCCCTACCGGTTCACAAATTTGAGCGCACATGCCACTTCAACACATGCGCATGGTCTCAAAAACATGCCTAAATAGGACTTCATACGTGATTTCAACTACTGGTTCACCCGAACCAATCCGAAACCAGCTGAATACCACCTCTGATTACACAGTACATGACAACCAATTGTCAACAATGGATTATCTGTGTCTAAATCCTTCTTAATCTTTGTTCTCCTTCATCTTTCCACTCTGAACTTTATTCAAGAGGAACAAGGTATTGTTTTTAGCCATAATATCTATTAGACGAATCTATTATTTATTTGTGGAGAAGAACCTGCAAATTGCAGATCCCACAGATTGGGATATTTCTTGAATCATTCAGCCAATAAAAAATCCTTCCCAGGAGCTTTGTTGCTCTTCAAGTCCTTTGTGTTGAATTTGATCATGGACTGATTAGGTTAAAAAATAGTTAACATATTGATTAATATGCTTGTACTTTTTAAATGAATTGGATCAATTAATGGAAGTGGTCAGTGTAACTCCACAAACATATATTTTCTATAAACTTTAGATAATATAAGCCATTGGGATTCTTTTCACAAACCTGAAATTTGTATATCAAAATATTATTTTGGCTAAGCTGATAAAGAAAACGAAAGCTTTCCATCTGTACTTCCTTTTCTACAGAAGACCCTTTCATTGGACACAAAGCCCCTCCTCACCTTCACAAGTGTGCAGGAGAAGCCCTTAAAGCAGCGGTTCTCAAGCTGGGGGTCGTGACCCCTTTGGGGGTCGAACGGCCATTTCACAGGGGTCACCAAAGCCCTCTCTCGCCCCCCCCCACATGACTTCACTCACCCTCACCCTCTGCCTCTGTTGGATCGCCCGGTTGCCGTTCGCTTACCCCGCCCACTCCCAATCTATTGCTGCCTCCGGAGTCCCAGTTGATGGCTAGATGGAAAAAAACTTTAAATTCTTGCCGCGGGGCTTTCAAAGAGCTAGCTGCAAAGAGGTAATTTCCTGGAGCAAATTTTTTTTCCCCTAGCTATGCTGAAAAGCGAAATTGAAAGTAAAGAAGCAGGGTCTTTGCTGTAACGTGACAAAATGAGGCAGAGAGATTTCTTTTTCTTTTTCCTCACCAAAAAAAGGTAGGTGCAAAACTGCAAACAATGGGAAATTTAGGGCAAGAGGAGGTTCAAGATTTTAAAACACAAAAGAAAAAAAGCTCTATTTAACTAGGGAATTGTAATAATTGAGATACTATTAATTGTATATTGTGTAGAAAGCAGAAATTGTTAAGTTGTGGTTTGGAGGAATATATGGGGGAAATTATTTGGTTTATTATTATTGGTAAATATAATTAATTGATTTGTAAGAAATTGGATTGCATGGAAATAATTGGAATATTCATGTTCATATTGATTAATATACAAAAAAGATAGTTATATAACTAATTGATTTATATTAAAATGTTGAATTTGTATTAAACAACTGTATTACATAATTAACCAATGTGAGGATGGATATAAAAATAAATGACAATGCGAAGGGGTATAATATAGAATAGAAGGGAAAAATTGAATTTGATTAAGATTAGAGATGAGGATGAAGGGTAATATTGTTTTTTTAAAAAATAGATGAGGTATAAATATGGTAAAAAGGAAATATAGAAATTGTAAATTTAATTGAAATGACTAAATACTGTGTTGGAAGAAATATCCTTCTGGGTTCTGCTCCAAGTGGGGAAAAAGACACTGGAAACATGGAGACTGCTTGGAAAGATGGTTTAATGGTGGACAGGATCACATGGCTTGATGGGGCCCATTGTGTTAGTTTCTGTTGCTATTGTGTTGCAAATGTCCTTTGACAAAGGATTGACTTTCTGCCTCTGGCCCATTAACAAAGGGTGGGGGGCAGGAAGGTGGGAGCTCCTTTGTCTGTAAAATATGCTTCTCCATTTCTCATCCAAGGAAATATAATATTCTGCCTTTTTAATATTTCCCAAAATATTTCATTCTTCTAGGAAAGGGGTAGGTGCTAACCTCCTACAACTGTTTAAATTTGTGAACCGGCCAAATACTCTGTTCAAAGAAAATATGTTGTATGTTTGTATGTGTGTTTCTAATTATTGCTATTTATTCCTATGTGTTCTCTTTTATTCTTTAAAGTTTAACAATTCATTCTGTATCTTAATATCTTAATATTTGTTTGGGGTTGACTTTCTTCCCTTTCTTTCCCTTCTGGAAATCTTAAAAATCTCACTGGAGATTTTTAAGAAGAGACTGGACATCCAGTTGTCTGAAATGGTGTAAGGTCTCCAGCTTGAGCAAGGGATTGGACTAGCAGATCTCCAAGATCCCTTCCAGCTCTATTTTGATTGATTGATTGATTGAATTCCAGAGAGGAGATATAGTTGGATTTTTCACTTACCCATCCTACCAATCCACCCAATTTACTAGATAGAGAGGCACACATACAAACCTGTGGGATTTTGTAGGGGGCTATTAATGTTGATATCTGGATGGAGATGTCCCTGCCAGTTCGATCAAAAAGAGCCAAATGGTTGTCCTTCTTTCCACAGCTGTAGTTGGGAACATTGGCTTCTCCTGTAGAGAGGATGTCCAACAAGGCATCTGATGTGCCAAGAGTGCTGAAATAGTTGTCATGAATGTTGTAGCCAAGTGTGAGATTGTGCAGGAGCGGGGAATTCTTACTGACCATTTGAATAGCGAAAATATGGCGTAGGATTTTAGACTGATCAGAAGATATTCTAGTGTAAAAAATGTTCATTTCATCATCATGACCACCACCATCATCAATCTTAAAATATATGTTATATTTTTTAATATATCTTTGCTTGACTAGTGAAAATGAAGCATTGTACTTCTGAATGAGCAATAGATAAACTCCTGTAAAAATGATCACATTATTATCATCACTTTTGCTGTTCACCAGCTGTCAGCAGTTTGGCAGTTCGGGTCTCACTGGCTCAGGGTTGCCTCAGCCTTCCATCCTTCCAAGGTCGGTAAAATGAGGAGCCAGATTGTTGGGGGCAATCTGCCAACTCTGTAAACCACTTAGAGGGGGCTGTAAAGCAGTCTGAAGTGGTATATAAGTCTAATGCTATTGCTATGGATACCCAACATCAAAAATGTCATCAAAAAAGCACAACAAAGAATGTTCTTTCTCTGCTAACTCAGAAAGCTCAAACTGCCCAAGGAGCTGCTGATCCAGTTCTACAAAGGAATTATTGAATCTGTCACCTGCACCTCTATAACTGTCTGGTTTGGTTCTACAACCCAACAAGACAGACTCAGACTTCAGAGGATAATTTGAACTGCAGAAAAAACCATGGCTACCAACCTGCCTTCCATTGAGGACCTGTATACTGCACGAGTCAAAAAGAGGGGGGTGAAAATAATTACAGACCCCTCACATCCTGGACATAAACTGTTTCAACTCCTACCCTCAAAACAATGCTATAGAGCACTGCACAACAGAATAACTAGACACAAGAACAGTTTTTTCCCAAACGCCATCAATCTGCTAAACAAATAATTCCCTCAACACTGTCAAACTATTCACTAAGTCTGCATTACTATTAATCTTCTCATCATTCCTATCACCCATATACTCCCACTTATGACTGTATGACTGTAACCTTATTGCTGGTATCCTTACGATTTATATTGGCTGTTTCCTAATATGATTTGATTGCTTATTTGTACCCTATGACTATTATTGTGTTGTACCTTATGATTCTTGACGAATGTATCTTGTCTTTTTATGTACACTGAGAGTGTATGCACCAAAGAGAAATTCCTTGTGTGTCCAATCACACTTGGCCAATAAAGAATTCTACTCTACTCTACTCTACTCTACTCTACTCTACTCTACTCTACTCTACTCTACTCTACTCTACTCTACTCTTTTCTATCATCATCAACAGAACCAACAACATATTTGTTTTTCAATGTAATCCAATTTGTCTCTTGAAGCCTACAGAATCTTAAGCCAACACTGACTTCAAGCCCAGAGACAAATGATACTCACCCACCTCCATTTAATTTTAATGAATATTGGAGAGATGGAATTGATACAGGCCCCCTCCTAGGTTAAGAATTGCAAATGCACCAATATTTGTAACAATACTAATTTTTATCTGGCCAGTAA